CTATATATATACACACATATATACACGCTATATATATACACACATATACTATATTATCCTATATTATATAGCATCCTATATTATCTTAATCCTGCCGCCAACAGGTGGCATTCTTGTCAACAGACAAGACCATTCCTCACAGGGACAGCCACTGTTTGAAAGTGGAGTCAATCTGCGCCACCAGGATAGTCAAACGCTATGAACCATGTGTGACGTTCAAAGCTATATCTCCATAAAAAGAAGAGGTATGGAAACAAAGTAAAGTTTGAGTGTGAGGTGGATGTCCAACGCTAATTTATATGTAATTTTTATCGAGTTGCACGTAATATATCATCGGTAAAATTAGACAAGCAAATGTTGAATTTCTCATGGTTTAGAGTGTCCTACTCCTCCTATATTATCTTACTCCTGATGTTATGTTATGTTGTGTTATGTCATGTTATGTTATGTTATGTTATGTTACAAGGAGTGAATAATATAGAGAGTGTATACCATGAGTGTATAATATATCTCTATATTATATAAACTCCTGATGTTATGTTATGTTATGTTATGTTATGTTATGTTATGTTATGTTATGTTACGTCTTGTTATCAGGAGTGAATAATAACAGATTATAATAATCAATTTTTATTCACTCCTGAAAGTAATCACTGCACTTACATCCAAGTGAAATAATCGAATAATTGCGTGTAATTTCAGGGATAAAACCTAAGAGCGTGTATAGAGTAAACACTAATGCACATACTAGGCGTAAACGGCGTATCGGCATACATTAACCGCATGCAGGTTCAGGTTTGGCACAGTGTCGTACGCCTGCGTCATATGTTCCCGCACAGAAGCTAGCGTTGACAGTTCGTGTACGCAAACGCGTCGACTGCTCTAGTATAACAGGTAACCGGTCGTCGTTACGGCTGCTAGATGACGAATGCAGGCTAACACGTTTTCCCCGTGGCTGTTTAGGTGGTCGTCTGTCAACCGTCGACCTGTTTGACTGCCTACGACCGGAGAAAAAAATGCATCAATCCAGCTATTGCCGCAAGTCTGCTAGACGTGCTCCGCAGGAACCAACGTAAGTTCATGGCCCGTTCTCAGCAACATCGAAAGTGACTGATTACAGTCACAACTAGTGGCTAAGATGTTTCTGGCAGTAAGCTCTTTGTCACGCCATGTGGAAACGGGATAGATAAAAATAAAAGACCGAGTACCTTTACATTCTGATACTGAAATTGGAAAAGGAATTGAGAGGCTGAGAGTGGGCGGAACGTGTGAAAGATATGGTTGGGGAATAGAGAACAACAGTAGTAAAAAGTAGATATTAGTGAAAGATTGAAGGGACGAGAGTGAATAAAAGCTGGAATTGGCTGGACAGAGACAGAGAGAGAGAGAGAGAGAGAGAGAGAGAGAGAGAGAGAGATAGAAAGAGAAAGCGAGATAGAGAATGGGAGAGCGAAAGAGCGACATATATAGATATATAATCATACATGTATATATTATTCGGTTACATTCCGCTCGATCTCGTCAATGACCGTCTACAGGTGGCACTGGTGACGCAAACGGCTTGCGAGAGCACGCTGTCTATTGTACTACTGTAGTATACGAACTCGACACGCAAGCTTAGATAGGGCCTACACGTAGGCTCTCCGCGTTCGACGAGACCTCTAACCTCTACCGACCCAGGCGAAATGGCAGCAGCATCACCACAACGGCAACAAGAGTCATCACAGCGTTAATTCGCTCAAGGATAAACTGCAATTTCATTTTGCTAGTCTATACACGGGCCGTTTCACACGAGGACGCGACCGCCGGTGCTGGCTACCTACTCGTACGTTACGCTGAACAAAAGGAGCAATTAGTAAATGGCTCGACATGCGTGCTCTCCAGTCCTCGAGTTGCACCGTGGTTGTCTATACAGTATTGCGTATACTCGCAGTGGCGGCGACATACAGTTACATGCGGGCGCCGAAGCAGAGACTACCTCACCGCGCCGGGAAGGAGTTGCCGGGAAAAAATGCTCCAAATTTTAATAAAAGATAAAGCGGGCGCGTGCACACGTGCCAAATGGTCGACAAATTTAATTAATAAAATTTTAATTATGAATGAAACGAAATCGTGCGGCGTGCGTGTCTTTTTTTTCGCTCCATGAAGCCAAACATGCTCCCCTGATGCTATGCTGGCTACGTGCGGGGGACGGGATGCGTAGTATGTCTAGTCCGTGCATAGCTTCGCTTACCTACCGAGTAGCGAGCTCCATCAAACGCCAACCGACAACAAACTCGGTTGTTTCTCCCTTAATTTATCGGCGATGATTCACAGTTGTAATCGCTGTAAAACCTTCAACTTTTGTTTTGTTTAAAATGACTTCATTTACGCGTATAGCCTCGTAGTTACTTACCGAAACAAAATTGCATTCAACATGCACGTGCGTATATATATACATATACATATATATATATATATTTAACAGTGGAATAGCGAATGGCATACATGGATTGAAAGGCCCCATCTCACAGAACGACAAGCAAACGTAAAGAGAGCGGGTTGTAACATCGCCTGCAGGCCATGCGCGGTAGTACAGCGCTAGCTCCAGTTCACAACACGGCGACTTATACGCGTGCACATGCACTCGTCCGCGCCCGCCGCTACACGACAAGACAAATAAGGCTAATCCTACTACTAACGGGCGTTTCTTGGCAATTGCCCCGAGTAAAATGTAGGAGGCGGTATATAAGGTGTGACGCCTTACACACCGGGTAGTATCTGTCTTGTGCCTCTAGTGCAAGTTGGTTTACCCACGGGATAACATATGCCTTTCCTTGTAGCGCGAGATTAATTGTGGGTAGGATAATATCTGCCCCTCTCTCGAGTGTGAGATGATCTAGCCACCGTATAATCTCCTTCTTTATTGCGAGATTAATTGTGCGTAGGATAATATCTGCCTATCGCTCGAGTGTGAGATTATTTATCCACACGACAATATCTGCCTCTGCCGCTATAGCGCGGGATCGTTTACCCGACGGGTAATATCTGCCGCTCACTCTCGCGCGCCGTGCACCGTCACTCCGAAAAAACTAAACCTACTCACTCACTCACCACTCATCTCAACTCCTCACTCACTCACTTCACTCACTCCACTTACTCACTCATCACTCACTGTCACCACTTCACTCACCTCACTCCACTCACTCACTCACTCACTCACTCACTCACTCACTCACTCACTCACTCACTCACTCACTCACTCACTCACTCACTCACTCACTCACTCACTCACCGGATAAGCGATGTGAGACAGGTGCTATTGAGTTACAGGCGTAATGATCGCTACCCGATCGGTCGATGCACAATTATCTCAGACGTTCAGATTCTGGTTGAAAGTGAGTTTAAATCCCAGAGGAAACGCGCGCCCTTCATAGCGGCAGGTGGTTTCGAAATCGTGCATAATGTTTCACTGAGTATTGTAAGGCGGGGGCTTTCGCTCGTCGACGAATGCGTGAGAATGAATTCAAACGACGACGGGCGACGGGGCAAAAGCGGATCCGACGCAGTTTTCTGGTCGTATATGTAGCTGCAGCCTAGAAAATAAAACAAAGCAAATAAGCAAATAAATAAATCACAGTATTGTACCTACTCCTGTCTTAGGTTGGCCGATCGAATAGTTGCGCTCTGGTTTTATATTGTTTTTAGAGGCCTCTGCAGCCGCTACGTACACATTCGCATTTCTGCATTATAGTGGATGACCCGTTATATTAACAGAATTTTTACCCTTCTAAAAACACATTGGGTAGAAGAACGAAAATCTCTATCTGTTAAGAGCTGCAGTATTCCCCGTTTTGAGAAGACCCCGGTTTACGAAAAACCAAACTTCAAACACCTCCATCTAGCTATAATAGGTGGCCCAGTTATTTCAAAGATGGCGACAAAGTACGTTGATACACCTTAGTAAAAACTATAAAGGCAACCAGGCCTTCATAGATAAAACACCACGATGATTTGCTCTCAGGCTGCTCTGCTCCATAATACTACTCATTTTATGGTTCATCCATGGTACCAAGAGTACATATAGCGTTATCTATGCCCCTGATAGCTTTCGCTTGGTCTAATTTTGAGATAAATATGACACTATTTCATACTAAGAACTTTGGTTATTAAATTCAGATTATATCTGAGACCGCTCAACAAGAGTAGCGTCTAAGATGCTATACAGTGATACGGTAGCGTATGGATACACACAGTCTGTATGTACATGAGATGTAGACCGTTCTAATACGGTATAATTATATAATCAACAATTCAGCGTAATATATGATCAAGAGCTTATAATACATCTAGGTATTATTAGGTATTATTAGCTCTTGATATGATGCATAGGTATGATTCTCTAACTAGCATTGATATATTGATTTGACATTGTAATTGTGATCGTAACTGGCGCTATATTTTTATTTCCGTGCTGCCGAAACTCAAATTAAATAGTGGTTTCAAATCACATAAAATAAAACCACCTACACATACATGTAATGTACCTCTAGTTTAAGAGGCTATAATGTGTTCAATATGTAAGTTAAACGTAGACTGTTTGGTCGATGTTTTCGGTGTAGATTCATACAAGCGCACGCAAAACACGTAAACCCGGAGCTACCACCGCAATACATCCGGAAGTACTAATACAAAAGTAGTAAATCTAAAAGTAAAGGAAGTACAGGACCTATAATGGCACAATAATATATATTGATTACGAGGGCGCGTTGGAAGTTTTGCATAAAACGTAAGCAGAAAACCCCCCGTTGTGCGGCTGGCGGACACATACGTGTTTTTACGATGTACGACTGCGGAAGTGATTTGGATGTTATAAGGGTAACGAGGACCGACATACGCGAGGTTGTTAGTTGACACCAGCGGCGAATTTTGTTTAGTATTAATTAACCGGCGATAGGTAGAAAATTTGTGAATTAAACTTAACGATTTAAAATTAAGCACAGCGAATTAGAGAATACTCACTCACTGAGAATTTTACGCATTTTCTCCGCTGTGTGTTGTGCCCCTTATGTCTGCGAGTGAACAAACTGTAGTATAATATTCACGATCTCCCTGATGCTACTTACGCTTAAGGGGTCGTTGTCGTAACAGGTACTACAGATATGCACCCGAGGTACATATATGTATACACAAAGTGTACCAGACTTGTACTACAGAAGTGTACCCTAACCCTAACACTAATCCTAACCCTAACCCTAACCCTAACCCTAACTCTAACCCTAACCCTAACCCTAAACATACCTCATATAAAAATATAAACATAATACTAAACAACCTAAAACTACCTCGGGTACATAAATGTAGTACCTGTTACGACAACGACCCTTCGTGCGCTACTTACGGTCACACACAAAATGTCTCACTGCAAAACATTTGATGGGATTTCGTGCATCACACAGGTTACAACAATGACGACGATGGCGAAGAGGAAGATAAATACCATGGTTACCGTCATGAAGAGGACGATGAAGAAGATAAATACCATGGTTACCGTCATGAAGAGGACGATGAAGAAGATAAATACCATGATGAAGAGGACGATGAAGAAGATAAATACCATGGTTACCGTCATGAAGATGACGATGAAGAAGATAAATACCATGGTTACCATGATGAAGAGGACGATGATAAGGATAAATACCATGGTTACCGTGATGAAGAGGACGACGAAGAAGATAAATACCATGGTTACCGTGATGAAGAGGACGATGAAGAAGATAAATACCATGGTTACCGTCATGAAGATGACGATGAAGAAGATAAATACCATGGTTACCGTCATGAAGATGACGATGAAGACAATAAATACCATAGACATCTTCATGAAGAGGACGACGAAGAAGATAAATAATTTGATTTCGGGTGACTATGTCGATGACAGCGGCTACGGAAAAATAGGTAGGTGCCATCTCTATTTTCTTGTTTTTCTACCTCCATTTGTGGGGCATATAGCCTCAGCATGCTGTGAGTATTTTGCCTTGGATTCATTACCAGTCGCTGTCCAGCAACGCTGTTCTATAGGTATCACACTGGAAAATCATTTCCCATAAGCGACCATGCTTACGAAAAAATTGCCATAAATCAGCAAATATTTTTTTGAGAAATCACAATGCCATCCTCTGAATCCACGTCGCAACTGACACCATATATGTTGTTAACTCAAAAGTTCTTCCATAATTTTTTTTTGTAAACAAGCTTTTGCCGGCACGCACTCGAAATGGCTACTTTGCAATGTCATTTTACGCGAAAAAGTAGGCTTCCTTCGAAAATTCCCCGGTCGCCACAGCAACGCACGCCGGACGAGCCGCTTACACTGTCGGATTTAGCAGAGATTCTAGTTTCTGAAATTAACAAATGCAAAGAGTTCTAAGCATTTCTAATGAGAAATAACGAATTCAAGCGCATGCATACACTGAAAAACGATCTCATTCTGATTGACTGATTTACCACCGTAGTACCACAGACTAACCGTTAGTCTATAAGAGGGTTCCGCGACTTGCACTAAAAATAGCAATATTACCCACAATCCTGTGCCGTCGGCCATACCGGTTCCAAAAAGAGCGAACATGTGTTGCGTGTAATCTGCCGATCTGCACAATTAACCGATTTTACATTGGCTATAGTGTTATTATTGCAATAGATAATATTAGCAGTAAGTGGATCCCGATTTTGCAGACAGGGTTATCAGCTGGTTTTGGTGTGCTAGAGTTCGAGATGATTGTGCAGACCCGGTTAATGGGCGCCGGTTTTACAGGGTGTTGCAGGCAGGTTATCAGCGTGGGTTGTGTTAATTGCTAGAGTTCGATGAGATTGCGCAGGCCCGGTTTTGCAAGCAGGTTTATCATCGTGGGTTTTAGGTGCTAGAGTTCAATAAGGCTGCCACACAGTCGGCAGATTCGTAGATTGAGCAGATCGGAAGATTGCACGCAAAACATATGTTCAAAGACTTGAGTTTGTTTACATCGTGAGAGTTTAGAAATTTCACCGATTTTACTGCATCTACTCTAGCTATCAAACGCAGCTTTTTATAATAGCTAGTGTATGCACGTTTGTCAACAGTCTGTAGTGTACGTAGTATGGATAAGTTCTTTGATTCACTAGACAACGTAGCCAAAGCACACTATCTCGAGAAAATTGCGTGCATTGGGAATCGAGACCCGTACCAAATAGACAATGCCGAATGGAGTATGAACCACAATGTGTTCCCATCACACACCTATTTGGATCTCGTGAACTACCTAACATTCCGGCCGAGTCCATTTTATACTCTCAAAGACTTTCAGAACCACAAAAGCCTGGATGCCTACGATCGACTGGTCTGTGGTTGGGTAAGAGGTGTATCTGTCTACATCTATGATGTGAACAATGAGTGCCCCATCTACGTTATCCGATGACGTGTTATGCACTCCCAGTCTATGGTTACCGTGATGAAGATGACGATGATAAGGATAAATACCACCGTCATGGTCACGAGGAGGACGATGGCTACGGCAAACACGTGTCATACGGCTATGCTGACACCGGTTACGGCACCAAGCACAATGGCTATGGCTATACCGACCACGCCGACGATCATTACGAAGAAGATGATGATGACGCTGACGATGGTAACGATCGCAACGACGGTGATGATGACGCTGACGATGGTAAAGGTAAATTCATTCGGCGCGTCTATGATGGTTTTCGGCACGCATCGCGCCACTTTGGGCCTCCTCGCATCTCCGCGGGATTCAGACTCGGCGGTGGCCAGGGAGGACACGGAGGACTCTTTGATTTTGGTGGCTTCAGCGAGTATAGCGAGCATCCAGTCATACATCTCAGGATAACTAAGCATATTCCAGGTGATTACAAACGATACGGCTAGGAATAGGAATCGAATATTAACAAATTACTAGTCATTATTATAAGAATATGATCTTGGCTGGGGTGTTTCGGAGATTACAGCGGTTACGTTTAGGCGTTGAAATCGAATACATTAGCTAATACTAATTGTCATTTTAATAAAAGCGTGATTTTTAATTGTACTTGTTTAGGAGGGTACAGAGGTTATGGCTACGCGTTAAGATCGAATACTAATAATTTAATTGTCATTATCATTAGAAGGTGATTTTTAGTTGTATTTGTTTCGAAGATTACAGAGATTACGACTATGAGTTGAAATATAATATAATGAACTACTTGTTATTATTATAAGAACGTGATTTTGAATTGTTTCATATTTCTGAGATTACAACGGTTATTAGGAGTTGAAATTTATATATATATCGAGCATGGCGCTTGGATTGGTAAGAACAAGAATAAAGAACGAGAATAACTCGTTGTTTGTGCACAGCGGCGTGCGCGCGGTATACTTGCGTGTTGCAGAGGAGCCTTTAAACGGCATTTACAGGGAATTATCGGCAATAATAGGCGAAAGAGAGTAGAGAAACTAAGACCTTGGTAGTAAATACATTTCGTGTTTATATACCATCATCTTACGATAGAAACGTTACAAATTCTTGTGGTTACGGTGAACTGCTTTAGATCGTACTTAGAATTTGCTGACGCTGTTTTTCATGCAATAAAAGACACACACGAAACTAATTTGAATCACATTGATTTTTTTAATAAGGATATGTTATCCGCGGTCAATCGTAATCGCGTTGAGCGAATTGTAATTTCAATGACACTATTTGTGTGGACTTTGTGCCGACTTAAATTTATGTTGTTTTGGTCTTCTTTATTATAAAACACAGGTGCGCATATCGTGGAGCTTTTCAATGTCACAGTCGTACTATATTAATTTTGTAGGTACTTATAGAGTACAGTCATAGACGCGTAATAAACGCATATAGGAGATTACACCGAAAGTGCCACAGCGAAACTAGACAAGCTTTAGAAAGATAGATAGATAGATAGATAGATAGATAGATAGATAGATAGATAGATAGATAGATAGATAGATAGATAGATAGATAGATAGATAAATAGAT